AAACAGATTAGCAAATGACGAATTTATATAACGAATATAACGAATGCATGATTGCAATATTCCCCAAACAGAAGCTGCATGAAATTGCATGTTCTGAGTTCTTCTTGCAATGTACTATTGATGACAATAATCCACCTTGGCATCCCCACCTGCTAAGTCCCATTGCAAAGTCACAGAGGATATGGATAATGATTTGAATTTTATAGCAAGAACATTGCGATGGCATGAACTATTTATTCTGCAAGGCTCCACATTGCTACAGAATCTGATTGCGGGTTGTGCATTTTGAGAATAAGTTTGCCAATGACAATTGCATTATCCATACCACCTGGTCATTTGTAATTATGGATTGCTTTGTCTGCCATTTTGATTTGCTTTGAAATTTTAGTTTATCTCTTTTTTTCCTATTATTTGCAAGCTTTATTTAAATGTACACTACAATTTAATTGCTTTGATTGAAATTGGTTTTCAGTTTCAAGGAAAGAAATACAATAGTTCAGGCAAAGAAAATGCTTTGAGTTTCCTTTTGATCAATATAAATGAAATTATAGTCTGAATTCTTATTTAGCCTTTTAATAATTATTTTCTTTTTAATTTGCAAAAATATTACACATACATATATTTAAAATTCCAGTTGCAATTCTATTGCCATCTTTAGGGCATGTCGTGTATACCTATATATACATCTGTATATCAATAAATAAAATTCCCATTAATCCCTTATAATTAGATGTTTGGTATTTGTTGCTGTGACTCATGAGTTTATTTACTTATTTTATTTTAAACAAAAATTCCGGCTAATTGGTGATAATTAGTTTTGTACTTTTATTTGCTGGCATAATTGTTTTTTAAGTTAAAAACAAAACTATATAATTTAAATATATACAGGCATACATATACATATTTTTATAATACATGTATACTATATAAACAACACGGAAAATCTGAAGTAACGCATACTGACTTCGGAAATCGTTTAACTGCACACACACTAAATTTGCGTTCTATGTATGTGTGCCTAAACGGAATATTAGTTTTAAACCCCATGTTTCTTTGGATCAAATCCGTTTCACACAATTTGGAGTCGATTTACAAATGTCCGCTCTGTCCGTCCGTCTGTCCATCCGTATTTCCGTCCGGCTGGTGCGCACGATAACGCTCAAAGGGAGCAATCGATTTTATTGAAGCTTGGCACATCGGAATATTTCTTTAAATTTAAATCAAGTTCGAAGATGGGAAATATCGGTCCACTCACTCTGGTCGTCGACTTTCAAGTGAACGATTATTTATGTGGGCAGTTCAAATCGTGGTATTGAAGTTTTTTTTAATTTCTTTTTGCCGGTCACAGTAAAGGAGACAGCACAAACGCATATTTTCTCGTAAAATAAAATAAATAAAAATCTAAAAATTAGTTGAATATGTACATTTTCCTGCATTATTTTAATGACAATTATATATTCTTAGAATGTCTCCGTTTTCTTATGACATTCATTTTTTAAAGATGCGATTATCTGTTCAGAAATTATACGCTTAGAGAGCTTGACTTAAAGAACTGATGATTTTTCGGTTACCGTGGCAACTTCGATAAGCTCTTTTGAACACTGTAGCGAAGAAAATATTCTGAGCTTCTGCAAACAATCATGGATACTGTATATTCTAAGCTATTAATATCCATGTTAATTATTTCTGTGTAATTACACTTTTTTGAATCATCCCTATCAGTAGAGGCACAATTGACGTCATTTGGCGTCATCTAGTAAATCGATTATGTATAATTTAAACCTCATTAGTTTTCCTTATAACTTTTAACCTACTGTATATTTTTAAATAAAATTGGTGCAATTTTACAATTTTATATTTTCTTGTGAACTAATTTTAATGCTTGGAAATTGCATGATGGGCGTGCTTTGCCATCAATAGATGGCACTGACGACGAACCCAAAACTCACAAATATTTTAAATTGTTGAAAAATGTCTGAATTTATATATGATGGCTATACCAAAAGAGGGACCGTTATTGATTTGTCACTCAATAACAATAGAAAACCAGTAAGGAAAGTAGTAAAGTCGGACGGGGCCGACTATATGATACCCTTCGCCACTTTGGGTATATTCAACAGATGAATCCTAACAGACGTTGAAGGACCATACACGAAAATGGATCCCTAAACATGTCATTGTGAACCGATTTCAATGAGACTTGCCAGAGATTAACATACAGTTCATTGTAAAAAGTTGTGTGACAATCGGACAAACTTTGGGTCTTTAGTGCACAATTTACATAAAATTGGAAGAAAAGATATATAGGAGCTATATCTAAATCTGAACCGATTTTCACGACACTTAGCACACATCATTCTAGACCTAATTCATTACGCTATGCCGTGCAAATCGAGAGATATATATTGACTTTGATACACCATTTACATTAAATGGGACGAAAATATATATTGGAGCTATTTCCAAATCTAAATCATTACGCTATGCCAAATTTCGTGCAAATCGAAATATATATAGTGACTTTGATACACCATTTACATTAAATCGGACATAAATATATAATTTCGTGCAACCGTATCTAAATCTGAACCGATTTTCAGTAAACTTAACATACATCATTCTAGACCTAATTCAGTACGCTGTGCCAAATTTCGTGCAAATCGAAAGATATATAAGGACTTTGGTACACCATTTACATTAATTCGGACGAAAATATATATGGGAGCTATATCTAAATCTGAACCGATTTTGATCAATTTCAATAGGGTTCGTCCTTGGGCCAAATAAGTGACATATGCCAAATTTCATCCAATTCGGATCATAAATGCGACTTGTACTTTGTTTACAAATTAACATGGACAGACGGACGAACAGGCGGACATGCGTAGATCGACTCAAAAAGTGATTCTATGCATATTCTCAAAAGGAACCATGTGTCTATCTCGTTTCCTTTTGTCTGACATCTCGTTTGCACAAAGACATAATACCCTGTACCACAGTGTGGTGTAGGGTATACAAATTACAGACAATTTGGTTGAAAACCGGACCAAAAAATCATTGAGTAATGACAACCCAAAACTCCAATTACAGCAATGTCGGTTAAGACACATGCCAACATCTCCAAAATACCGAATAAGAGTGGAATGATTAATCAAAATATATATCTATCTTAAATACTGCGATATTTATCGTGTGATCAAAACTATATACACCTTATGGAGTATGGAGAAATATTAACGTGTCGTTCAAAATATAAGCAATTTTCTATACAATATTTTCTATTAAGGGGACCCCCCCTCCCATTCTCAGGGTCAATTTTTTTTTTGGTTTAATTCAATCTAAACTAATTCAAGAATGTCCCTACAAAATTTCAAGAGAAAATTTCAAAAAATAGCCGATTAATTTTGCATCAAGTGACGGCTAAATAACTTTAAACGCGTTTTTCTCTTTTGTGAATGGTGGGCACGATAACTCAAAAACTAATGACCCAATCGATTCGAAATTTTTACACGTTTCTCTGTGAGTGTTTAGCTATCGTATGAACTAGGATTAAGCCAATCGGTGAAGATCTTCCTTATTTTTAACTTGGTTTTTGGTAAAAAATCGGTGATTTTCCAAAAATATTTTGTCAAAGGTCCGCCATTTTGTTAATTTTAGAGCGAAGTAAAAATCCTAGTTCATATGAGAGACAGACATGTGCTCTCTTTAACACCGTTGGAATTTTCGGATTCCGATGTTCCAGTGGGGAGTTATCATGCCCGCCATCAAAAATAAGGACAAAACAATAACAAACATTTTTTGTAAATTATTTTTCTTCTTTTTTAAATCTTTAATTATATGTTCAAAGTTACAAACATTAACAAGCATTGGTATTGATTTACCAGCCCATTGAAAATCTAGAAAAATTAAAACCCAGTGGGTTTCAATTGTTTCAAAAAATTTAATTTTGTATTTATTTATGTCAAATAAATCGTCATAAAGTAGGTTAACCCGGTAGAAAGTTCTAATGTATATGCCGTTTCTCTGTGAGTGCATAGCTGTAGTATGAACTAGGATAAACCCGATTCGAGTAGATCGAAATATAAATGCTGATCGATTTCCTTCGTTTTCGAGCTACAAAGCGTATCACAAACTGCAAAAGTCGCTCCAAATGTGAACTTTCCCAAATATAATTGCGTCATATAACACTTCCTCAATCGATAGGATAAGATTAAATTCAATTATAAGCAAAAATAAGCAATTGTATACATATGTATACAATCGTTGAATTATAATTATCAAGTTATGAATTCGTGTATGTGTGTATGCCACAATTCAATTAATTCCTTTTTTGCTAATTACTTATATTTATGTTGCATAACCGATCTAATATTATTTATGTGCAAGAAACAAATTTTTTTTTTTGTTTACCAACTTCCCGTAATATTATATTCAATTCCAACTAATCCATGCTAAATAGCCTGAAAACAATTCAAATACTTTTCCAATAGATTTCAAAATGATTTTTTCTCCTTTCTGTTGTGTTTTGTTTTGTTTTGCTTATCCACTCGTACTATTTTTATTGCTCTCTATTTCTCTATCTCTACAACTTCACTCTAATTATTACCATTTATCTACAACTTCTGTTCGATAATAAAAATAAATAATATTCCTTTATTCGTATCGTATCGTATTTGTTCATAATTAGTTATCACTACTAAATATATAGAAACTAAAACATCAGAAAACAAAATGAAAAAAAAACTTTTTCCCCCAATTTACTACTTCTCTAATCTATTACAACTGCTCTTTGGCAATTTTTCTGATATTTATTTTATTCCGTTCTAAATGAGAGTTGAATGTATTCTTCTTGTTTATCACTTAAAAAATTATCATTTGTATAATTAATAGATACATGAGAAAAATATAATTTTTTTTAAAAAAATAAAAAAATTTAAAAAAATAACTTGCCAGTCAGTAATTAATGTTTTTTAAATGTTATAATTTATTACGCGTTTTAGTTCCGCCACGTTGGATTGTTGAACCAAGCGATGCAAATGTGGAACGGAATCGTCATATTATGTTGCACTGTCAGGCGCAGGGTGTACCAACGCCCAGTATCGTTTGGAAAAAGGCTACAGGTAAGTTTCTTTTTTCGTTAGAAATACCACATTGGATACACATTATAAAACTTATAAGCGTTGTTTAATAATTCAAAATTGGTTAAATATTCAAAGAAATATAGTCAAGGACAGTCGGGTAATAATTAACAATGAATGCCATTACAGTGTGATTTGCATTTCATCTCTTAATGGTCGTGATACTTTAGGTTTAATATATATACTAGCATATACCCGCTACTTCGTTAGCGAACGTGGGGAATATTTAAACGTATATTAACATATTATTTAATTTCCGCAGACAAACTGCATATGCCAGAAAAACTAAACAATCAACACATTAATATCGACCATAAATTAAATTTGAGTACTATTTAGTACAAAATGTCATGACTGGAGCTCTAAAGGTTCACCCAAATCCATAAGTACCCACCTCAACCATCAAAAAAACTTCCTGCATACCCCGATCCTACAACGCCACAATGATTCCAAATTCAAATTTCTCTATTGGTTCACTTACAATTTCAATTGTACCAAACTTAGTACACAGTAGTACGAATTTCAAAAACTTCATACTTAACCCAAAACTACACCCCCATAGTGATCCTAAATCTAAGTTTCATAATTCCAACTCTATCGGTTCACCCACAATTCAAATTGTCCCATATTTAGTACACAATAGTACCAATTTCCAAAACTTCATACATACCCCAATCCTACACCCCCACAGTGATTTTTAATCCAAGTTCCATGGTTCCAACTCTATCGGTTCACCCATAATTCAAATTGTACCAAATTTAGTACAGTCGTACGAATTTCCAAAACTTCCTACTTAACCCAAACCTTAACCGACACTCTATCGGTTAAACCATAATTCAAATTATACCAAATTTAATACACAGTAGTACAAATTGCCAAAACTTCCTACTTAGCCAAAACCTTCATCCCACAGTGATGCTAAATACAAGTTTCAGGATTCCAACTCTATATGTTCACCCACAATTCAAATTGTACTAAATTTAGTACATAGTAATACCAATTTCGAAATCTTCCAACCTACCCCAATCCTACACCTCCACAGTGTTCCTAAATCAAAATTTCAGTATTCCAACTCTTTCGATTCACCCACAAACCAAATCGTACTAAATTTAGTACATAGTACTACCAATTTCCAAACCTTCCTACATACCCGAATCCTACACCTCTACAGTGATCCTAAATCAAAATTTCGGGATTCCAACTCTATCGCTTTACCCACAATTCAAATTGTACCAAATTTAGTACACATTGGTACAATCTTACACCTCAACAGTGATCCTGACTCCAAATTTTATGATTCTAGCTCTATTGGTTCTCCTAAAATTCAAATTGTACCAATTGTACCATTGTACCAAATTTAGTACCGTTTAGTACACATAAGTGTTATTTTCCTAAACTGCATCCTGACCCCAATCCCACATCCCTACAGTGATCCTAACTACAAATTTCATTGTACCCGCTCTATCGGTTCACCCAAATCCAAACTGTACCGATTATAGTACGATTTAGTACTTTTCGATCACATAAGTAACAAATTTCTAAAACTACGTTCATATCCCAATCCTACACTCCGACAGTACTTTTAATTGCAAATTCCAGAACTCCAGCTCGATTTGTATATCCAAATTGAATTTGTACCAAATATAGTACCATATAGTACTTTTCGTACACATGGGTACACGCTTTCCAAACTCTCCTCATATCGACCCTAATTCCCAACCTTAATTTGCAAATTTCAAGTTTTTAGCTCAATCCATTCACATGCTACGAAATTGTACCAAATTTAGTACATTTCAGTATTTTTCAGATACTTATAGTTCGAATTTCCAAAAAGTCCTTTGCTACATATATTCTACACTCCATCAGTGACCCTTAATCCAAAAATCAGAGTTCTATCTCTACTCGTTCTCCAAATAAAAATGGTACCACATTTAGTACGTTTTAGTACCTTTCGTACCGTTCTAGTACGAATTTCCAAAAACCTAGGCTTATCTGTCACCTTTGGACCAAGAGTGACCCTCGACCAAAATTTCAAGATTCTAGCTTCAGCCGTTTCATCTGTACGTTGATTAATCTTTAAATCAGTCAGTCAGTCAATCACTTTACTCTTTTATTAGTATAGATTAAATTTGCATCAAATATAGTACTTTTAGGTACACATGTGTACACGTTTTTAAAGCCATCTCCTTAAATGGACACTACTTCTCAATCATAATTCACACTCCAAATTTCAAGTTTTTAGCGCTATCCATTCACATGCTATAGAATTGTACCAAATTTAGTACATTTTCGTACTTTTTGGATAGTTATAGTTCGAATTTCCAAAAATCCTTTGGTAGATCTATCTTACACTCCATCAACGACCACCAAACCAAATTTCAGAATTCTACCTCCACCGGTTCGCCAAATACAAATGGTATCATATTTAGTACGTTTTAGTACTTTTTGTACCATTCTAGAACGAATTTCTGTCACCTTTAGACCAAGAGTGACCCTCACCCAAAATTTCAAGATTCTAGCTTCAGCCGTTTCGTCTGGGTGTTGATGAATCGTTAAATCAGTCATTCAGTTAATCACTTTACACTTTTATTAGTGTAGATTAGTACTTTTCGTACCATTCTAGTACGAAGTTCCAAAAACCCAGCCTTTTCTAACACCTTCGGAGTGACTTTAACTCCAAATATCAAGATTCTAGCTTCAGCCGTTTCGTCTGGGTGTTGATGAATCGTTAAATCAGTCAGTCTGTCAATTAGTCAGTCAGTCAATCATTTTACTCTTTTATTAGTATAGATTGGAAATAGTAGTGATCCAGTCTATATATTGTTGTTAATTGTATCCTACATTTGGTCTTACAAGAGCAATATTTTCAATACCCTTTCTCCCAAATGTTTGTAATTCTACCCTACAAAAATATATATATTCTGGTAGGGTATTGTAACTTGTGTAACTCCATGAAACATTGGTCTTAGAATAACGTTTTGGTATAGCCGTGCGTCCATCAAAGTCCAGACCGCAGATATGGAATAATCTTCACAAAAGATTGTATATATGTTCGGTTTTAATCAACGGCGAAACCTATAGTTTTTCATAATGTATCTGGACCTAGTCTTTTGAGTAAAAAAATAACAAAATGCCACGGATTTTAATTCCGGTGAAAAAATTCAATATGACCACCATCTCATGATTTACTATGGCAACATCTACTTAAAAAAATTTTATTATTTGAAAAGTCCAATACACAAACATTGCTGTCTATATTTGCACATTTCGAATGCAAATATGGTTGTCTTTTATATACATACTGACATTCATTCGTTTATTGCAAACATTTACATGTATGTTAACACGTTATTCTTTATTTTATCTCTTTATCGATTTATTTTTTTACAGGTAGCAAATCTGGCGAATATGAAGAGGTGCGTGAACGGCCATTTACAAAATTACTTTCGAATGGTTCATTACTGTTGCAGCATGTCAAAGAGGACCGAGAGGGATTTTATTTGTGCCAGGCCAATAACGGCATCGGTACTGGCATCGGCAAAGTGATACAATTAAAAGTTAATTGTAAGTTTGGTGTGGTTTTACGTTTCATTTTGCTCATACTTATGTTGCCACCGAACAACGACTGTAACATTTTAATTCATCAATCAGTCAGTCAAACGAAACCTTATACATTTGCGGAATTCAATCTTCGTTCAATGAATAATTAGCTAAATTGGAAAAGTTGGCAAAAATTGACTGAGGCCAAAGCGTATGGTTGGGCTGTACAGTAGTTAAAAAAAATTATTAGCGTAATGTTAACTAAAGTCATTAGTTCGGGCGAACTTTTTTAAATCCACTAATTTAAGATGCGCAGAAATACAAGAATAATGTGGCATATACATTCATTTTTTTGGACACAATGATAAAAAATTAATATCATCTCAAGCATGTTTTCAAATATTGATATGCCAAGGGTCAGCATACGGGGGGAGAGCAGACATATGTACTAAGGCACCGACAGTGAATCTGGATAAGTGAACGTTCAATTTATTATCGTCCTAAAAAAAAATCTTACATATGTATATATCGAATTGTTAAAGCCTACTACAGGTCGAAGTGCTTCAATCAATAATACGCTCCGAACCACAAAGGCCAATAGAGCCACCTCTTAACATGTATTCAGGATTACAATCCTAAAAAAAACTTACATATGTATATATCGAATTTTTAAAGACTACTACAGGCCAATCAATAATACGCTCCGAACCACAAAGGCCAATAGAGCCACCTCTTAACCTGTATTCAGGATTACAATGTGGGCTAAAAAAGGCTAGTTGTGGTACAACGGCATATAACTACACTTCAGTATCGGGTAGTATCAACTCAGAAATCTTCTATATATATATATATATATATATATATATATAAAACTACTTGAAAATAATTTTTTTCCAACTTTCCGTAATTTTTTCCATACTACTGTCATGGTTAAGTTTAATTTTAATGAAGTGCTGATTACATGACAGCCAACCAATTCCAACTAATTGATACGCATGAGAATTTCCAATGACATCATCCCAGAGAATTGCTTACCGTACACCATCCAGCTTAGCCGGTTGATCACCCCAGACGTATTTACTACACATTTACAATCATTATGTCGCCTGTACTTAATTTAATGTGCCTCTGTGGCCTTTTCGTATTTTTTTCGATCTTTTATTTTTATGCTCCCATTAATGATTTTTGCTGCACACCACCCGCCCATCACTATTCACCACATTGATGACGATGACATCGACGCCCTTTTGCTGTTCGACCTGTTTGACATGCTGATGTAAAATTTTTGGCGTGGTGGCTCAAATGGAATATGAAAAGCTTCGCCCTATTTCCAATCGACTTCACGTTCGGTGACGGTGAAAAAGGGTGATACGGCAATACTGCAGTGTTCGGTAAGCGGTGACAAACCGATTAATATCGTTTGGATGCGTTCGGGCAAGAGTACACTGAATCCATCGACAAATTACAAGTACGTAAAACCTCTTCATTACTTTTGTTGTGTTTTTGTTCCTATATTTTATTCATTATTTTCTTTCGTTGATTTTTTGTTGCAATTTATTCTGTTGTTGTTAATTTATATGGTTTGTAGTCATGTTTTACAAGTCCCCACAGAGAGTATCGTAAATAAATTAAAGACACAGATTAAAAATCAAAATATTAAAAAAATGTCTTAATACACCTTCAAAAATTACAAAGTTCCAAACTTTATGTTTCAAGTGTCCTTGGAAAATTATATTCTTAGGATTTTTGGTAATTAAAATGAGAAATATGTGTCCACTTTTTAGGGTAGCCCCATGTAAGGAATCCCCCTAATGTTAGGTATTTTGATACTTTTGATACTTTGCAATAATTTATTATCCTTGTTTTCCATTGGGTAAAAATCGCACTATCAAAAATTTATATTGGTCCATGTTTCCTGGTAGCCCTCATATTACGGTACCGTATATTATATATTACTATTTTATTGTATTTTACACTACTTTATTTTTCGTTTTTATACCCTTCACCACACTGTGGTACAGGGTATTATGTCTTTGTGCATATGTTTGTAACAGGCAAAAATAATCGAGATAGACACATGGTTCCTTTTGAGAATATGCATAGAATCACTTTCTGAGTCGATTTATGCATGTCCGTCCGTCCGTCCGTCTGTCCGTCTGTAGATGTTAAATTGTAAACAAAGTACAGGTCGCATTTATGATCCGATTTGGATGAAATTTGGCACAAGTCACTTATTTGGCCCAAGGACGAACCCTATTGAAATTGGGAAAAATCGGTTCAGATTTAGATATAGCTCCCATATATATTTTCGTCCGATTTAAGGTAAATGGGGCACCAAAGTCCCTTTATATCTTTCGATTTGCATGAAATTTGACACAGAGTACTGAATTAGGTCCAGAATGATGTGTGCCAAGTTTCGAGAAAATCGGTTCAGATTTAGATATAGCTCCCATATATAGCTTCGTCCGATTTAAGGTAAATATTGCACTAAAGTCCCTATATATAATTCGATTTGCATTAAATTTAGCACAGGGTACTGAATTGGGTCCAGAATGACGTGTGCCAAGTTTCGAGAAAATCGGTTCAGATTTAGATATAGCTCCCATATATAGTTTCGTCCGATTTAAGGTAAATGGTGCACCAAAGTCCCTATATATCATTCGATTTGCATGAAATTTGGCATAGAGTACTGAATTAGGTGCAGAATGATGTGTGCAAAGTTTCGTGAAAATCGGTTGAGTTTTAGATATAGCTCCCTTTTATTATAGATTGATTTTAAGTAATTGACGATTTAAGGTAAATGGGGCACCAAAGTCCCTTTATATCTTTCGATTTGCATGAAATTTGACACAGAGTACTGAATTAGGTCCAGAATGATGTGTGCCAAGTTTCGAGAAAATCGGTTCAGATTTAGATATAGCTCCCATATATAGCTTCGTCCGATTTAAGGTAAATATTGCACTAAAGTCCCTATATATAATTCGATTTGCATTAAATTTAGCACAGGGTACTGAATTGGGTCCAGAATGATGTGTGCCAAGTTTCGAGAAAATCGGTTCAGATTTAGATATAGCTGCCATATATAGCTTCGTCCGATTTCATGTAAATGGTTCACCAAAGTCCCTATATATATAGTTTAGTCCGATTTAAGGTAAATGGTGCACCAAAGTCCCTATATATCCTTCGATTTACACGAAATTTGGCACAACGTACTGAATTGAGCATAGAATGTTGTCTGCCTTGTTCGTGAAAATCGGTCCATATTTAGATATAGCTCCCATATATAGTTTCGTCCGATTTCATGTAAATGGTGCACCATAGTCCCTATATATCCTTCGATTTGCACGAAATTTGGCATAACGTACTGAATTGAGCCTAGAATGATGTCTGCCAAGTTTCGTGAAAATCGGTCAAGATGTAAATAGAGCTCAAATATATAATTTCGTCCGATTTAATGTACATGGTGCATCAATATATATCTCTCGGTTTTCACGAAATTTGGCATAGCGTACTGAATTTAGTCCAGAATGATGTGTGCAAAGTTTCGTGAAAATCGGTTGAGTTTTAGATATAGCTCCCTTTTATTATAGATTGATTTTAAGTAATTGACGCACCAAGGAACCAATAGGCTGATAGGAACAAAACGTACTGAAATTAGTATATCCTAACCCGTGACAAGTTTCGTTGAAATTGATTCATATTTGGATATAGATTCCATATATATTTACGCCCGATGTTAAGTAAATTGGGCATCAAACTCCTCATGTTTGTCAAATTGACATGCAATTTTGAACAGTTTCCAAAATTGAGCATAGAATAACGTAGTTGCGTTTTCTAGAAGTACAGACATAGCCCAACGGATGTCCTAATGCTTTGTTTGAAGTCGATTTATATAATTTTGTCCCATTGTAACAAACGAATGACTTGTTTACGGATTGATCTAAGGCGATTCACATTTAGATAAGTATCACATATTTTAGTTCGTCCAAGTTCATGTTAATAGTCCTGTTTTATATACCCATAGTGGTGAAGGGTATCATATAGTCGGCCCCGTCCGACTTTACTACTTTCCTTACTGGTTAATACATGTTTTACCTTCCACTTATAACATCCGATTTCAATCGTTTCACTTCATAGAATTTCAGTCAAACAGGAGGCAACGCCCGATGGAGTTTCGGCAGAATTACAAATTCGCTTAGTTGATGCCAGCGATAGTGGCCCCTATTTTTGTCGTGCCAGCAATTTATATGGCAATGATCAGCAACTGGTACAACTAATGGTACAGGAGCCACCGCAACCACCAACGGTGTTAGAAGCAGCCATGATCTCCAGTCGTTCGGTCAATTTGAAATGGCAGCCCAAGGTACAGAATTCCGGAGATGTTTCCAAATACATAGTGGAATATAAAGAGATGGATGGTAAGCTGTCGACAGACATTAAGCGTTAGAAATAAAATTAAAAAATACATATTTTCCCTAGCAGCTACATTCATGGACCAATGGCAGCACATGGAAGTTAAGGATCCACCTAGTTTCAATGCCTTAATTGAAAATCTCAAGCCGGCAACTCGTTATGCATTTCGTGTAATAGCTGAGGGTACTGCAGGTCGTAGTGCACCCAGTCAAGAGTTAGTAATACGCACCGAACCACAAAGGCCAGCAGGGCCACCACTTAATCTCTCAGTGCGTCCATTGTCGTCGACGGAATTACTTGTTAGCTGGATTGCACCATTGGCCGAACTGAGGCATGGTGATATTCAGGGTTACAATGTGGGCTATAAACTGGCCAGTTCTGGTACAACGGCATATAACTTCACTTCAGTTTCGGGTGATGGCGATGGTGGTACGGGCGAATTACTTTTGACTGGGCTTCAAAAATTTGCCCGCTACAATGTTGTGGTGCAGGCATTTAATCAAGTTGGACCTGGGCCTCTCTCTGAACCAGCTTCAGCACAAACTATGGAAGATGGTATGTTATGAGATGAAAAACTCAGATTTGCTTTGTTTTTGCAATAAATGTTAATTTTGATTTTATTTTTAATTTACAACCATTTTTTTCTTTTTTCAAGTACCCAGCCGTGCTCCCGAAGACATACGCTGTGCCGCATTGACATCACAATCCCTGCAAGTGTCATGGCAACCACCACCGATTCACCACACCAATGGCATACTACAGGGCTATAAATTGATATTTGAACCCATTTTAGACGATTATTCTCCGAACAAGGATGAAGTAGAGTCCCGCAAGACAACGGCACTGACAACTGTGCTCACGGGATTGCGCAAGTTCACCAACTACAGCATCCAGGTGCTGGCCCATACACGAATGGGCGATGGTGTTCTTTCGAATTCCATTTATTGCCACACCGAAGAAGATGCTCCTGAGGCACCAGCCGACATCAAAGTTGTTGTTAGTTCCCCTCAATCTTTATACGTTTCGTGGCTTCCACCCAACGAACCGAATGGCGTCATTACCAAATATAATCTCTATACAAGGGTGGTAAATGGTCGCGAAGAACTGAATAATGAAAAGCGAAGTCTTCCCTCCCAGCAGTCTTATTATGAAGCCAAAAACCTACATCCCCACATGGAATATCAATTTTGGGTAACAGCTTCCACACGTGTCGGTGAAGGTAAAAGTTCCAAGGTGGCTTCACAAATTACCACAAATCGTGTACCGGCACGTATTGTCTCATTTGGTGGGCCAATTGTTAGACCATGGCGTTCAACGGTGACACTAGCCTGCACTGCAGTTGGTAAACCCAAACGAGAATGGTTTAAGACGGATGTCCCCTTGCGACAGGGGGGTTTGCACAATACCCAGTTATTGGATTCTGGTGATTTGATAATATCCAATTTACAAGTATCGGACAGCGGCAATTACAGCTGCCAAGTGGATAATGGTATTGGCACAGACCGCCTAACCCATATGCTTTTGGTACAAGTACCTCCTTCCGCTCCCGTCCTCTACGTAACAAGCGCTACCACCAGTAGTATTCTGATGCATTGGAAATGTGGATTTACCGGTAATGCTCCGATAACGGGTTATACCTTATACTATCGGCGAACACCAGGAAATATAGAAGAGAAGCAATTGTCACGTCACGCTTCCAGCCATGAATTGAAGGGATTGGTTTGTGGCAGTACATATCAAATACACTTAACGGCCACCAATAAGGTGGGCACATCTCCGGCCAGTATAACGTTACATGTACGAACTCAGGGTCAAAGTCCGGGTGTGCCTTCAACTACAACGTTAATAGCTCCCAACTCAACATCGGTTAGCATAAGATTACATACATGGCCAGATAATGGTTGTCCCATGTTATATTTTGTATTACAATATCGTCCTGTCACGGATGGCCCCGAAAAGGATTGGATATTGGGTAAGTAGAAGATCGGAAGAATGTAGACATGTGGATATGTACAGTTAAAATATTATATAAATTCAATTATTGTATAAATGTGATATTAGAACTTGCTATATTTGGAATATCTTTAAATTCCTCCGAAACGAAACATAAAGGAGTACATTAAATATCTCTACTTTTCTGATACCCTTATATAGGGGTCAAAACATGGACATTTTATTACAATTTTTGCAGGAAAGTTTTTTATCCGCAGAGTAAATAAATTGCCCAATTACATACGCCTAGTAGGGGAAATTCGGAATTTTATATGTGGGTTATAACGTTGACCTACACATAGGGAAACTATTCTGCACACAGGTAAATTCTGCTCGGAAGAAACTGAATGCCTATTTAGAATATTATGCTAGATCCATCAACATATCTAAGATGTTTTGAAAACCTTTATGGAAAGATTTGTACGATTTAGGGGAAATTTTGTACAGGAAACTAAATTCAACCAGCAATGACTTCGGGTAGTTTCATCAGTCTTTGTGTAGTTTTTATTTAGTTTAGACAATTGCTGTGTTCAACATATTGAACAACAACAACAAATAGGGCTATAACGAAACCTGTTTGAAAAACAAGTGAAAAAAGCGTTTGGATACCCGCCACCAGTTTATTGATAGTTACTTAGAATTACAATTCTAACCGCACCTGGAACTATACTATAGGGAATGTTCATGGGAAATATTTATATTAAATTCCTCAACTTTTGATGATGTAAGGATTAACATACCAAAATTTGGACCTATACCGACATATGTTGTAAGCCATTATGAACACGATTTTTAATGGGGATTTCAACAAAATCTTAAAATCCCAAAACGAGGTCCGATATTCATAACACAAGATGGAACATGTGTATACAAAACTCAAAATATTGCAATTTGTAGTGTAGAGTTATATGTGGGGCTATACCTAAATGGGGTCCAATAATGATTACAATAATGATTATAATGATTACAAACGGAATAACAACATAATCCAATTTATCCGAATATATATGTCAACGTTTCATTTCAAATTGTTGAAATGAGTCCCCGTCAAACGATTTTTTTTATAAAACGATTTATGTAATTAAAGCAAACAGCCCAAAATGACACGCTTCCAAACGAACTCGTCTTAATCTACTTAACTATGTAATTGAGAATACAGAGTATTCATACATTGGCAATTAACCTCCTCTTGAGTGGTACGTGACATATACAAACGAACAAATTACAAATATCTCCCCTTTGTTGTTATCCGAATTACCCATACAGAAAATAATAAAAAAAAACAATGCAGATAATTTAGTGCATGACACTTACAAAAGAATTTTTGCATTCATTGAACAATAATTTACCTATTTTTTGCTCTATCTTCCTTTATACATTTTAATTGGTAATTTCTCACATACTAATGTTTGCCTGTTTCTCTACTCTTTTTTTGCCTTTTCTGGTGTTCTCTTTTGTTTACGTAATACACTTGATTTGTACATGGTCAACCGAATGCTAACGTGGCTGGATCCATTGCTGGATTATGCAGTGTCAAACGCCCTGAAACCACAGCGACGTTTTACCATATCTGGTCTCCAACCATCGACACTATATCAATTGCGCATGGAAGCGCACAATGTGGCCGGTGTGTCACAGGCCGAGTTCACATTTGTCACACTCACCAAGGACGGTGATCCACCCCCACCAGAGATAGTGCAGCGCGGACAACGTGGCACGAATGTATTCTACGGAAATGTCAACCTATTGATACCGAGCATAGCTACCGTATCTGGGATGATATGCACCATAGCACTGGTATTCATGTGCTACCGACACAGTGAGTATTTAGAACAACAATAAATATTGTGAAAACAAACAATAGTAGTAATGCCAACAATAACAACAACACGACGACAATAATACGAACAACCACTGCTTCGAAAACAAAAATCCATATAAATGGAAGCCAACAATCAGTAACAGGACCTAAGGCATTTTGTTTGTATAGATTTCGTTGGAATCGAGTCCTATATTCCGTTATACTGGGCTGTTGTTGTTTGAATATGGTAAACAGCGACATACAATAGAAATCTGCAGGATACTTCGAATAGCATAATACAATTGCTTAACGTACTTCTCGCATGCACAATGTATTTCTCGTATACCCAACCTCAGAGTAACGAGTGTGTATATATACAATACGTGTGTACACATTACTCCATGTAGCTGAAATTAAATAAAAATCTGAAAATATAAGATACGATAGAAGAGAGGAAATAAACTTTATGAAGTTGTTATCTGAAAATAAATTGGTCGATCTGTCATATTAACTGTATCTACGTAAGAGTCCACAGTTTCGGTAAAAGTAAAAAAGTCGTTAAATTCAGCTGGGACGAACATTTTATACCCTCTACTGCTTGGTGCATTCGAAATTCCACAAATCGGTCGGGACCTTTATATGAGAACTATATGAGGGACCGTTTAGGAACTTCCACATACAGAAAATTAAACGGTGTTTTTGTATGGGAATATTTTAAAACATAATTTCTGATTTTTTTTATGCCACTTCTGAAAGAAAATTAGGTACGTATATGTGGGGGCTATACCAATAATTGGATCTATATTGACAATTTTCGGCAAATAGAATTTCAGTCAATTTAGAAGGTGGTACCCAATAATGGGGGATGCCCATAAAAGTGACCCAATATTGTGACCCAAGAGAATTTTCAAAACAAAGATCATGTGGATACACATTCCCAAAGGCTTCAAAATCCCAAATATTTTGGGGTACCGTAATATGGGGACTACCGCGGAACATGCGTTAATATTGATCATTTGTGGTTGGGAGATTTTCTGCTCAATGATAGTCAAAAAACTCGGTTATTTAGAGGCTACCGTAAAAATTTCAACAGTATTGATAATTGTTATACCCTCAGCATAACATACATACCTAATGGAGGTACGACAAGTATGCCCTTCGACCAAATCTGTTTCAGACCATTTGTTCGTCAGTCCGTCCGTCTCGCTGGTAGGCACAATAACTCTCAAAGGAATGAACCGATTTGATTCAAACTTTAAGCCTCGTAATATTTCTTCCAAACTTAAATCGAAGTTAGGGATTATCGGTCCACTCCACTGGTACCATTCACACAAAATGATGAACATATTGCTGAAAATTAATTTTATGATATCCGATTGGATACAAACTTTGAAAAGCACAATATTTTTACCAAGCCGGTTTATTATTGGAAAATGAGGCTTATAGGCGCATGTCCGATTTGACCTAAACTTTACACATCATCTTATTTTTACCAACTCTAATTCAATTTCGGTCCATTCCCACCCGTACCTTCCACACAAAATTGTCAACATATTACTGAAAATGAATTTTATAATGTCATGCGAACGGACAATCCGATTTGAATTACATTTTGTGCAACCTAATTCTCTAACCATGTCTGTATAATATTGTAAGAGGGTACTTATTGGTCCTCTTCTTTAGTACCTCCCTCACAAAGGGCCATCATTTGAAAACTCATATGGAGCGAATGGGATATCCAATTTCATCGAAACTTTGCACATCGTAATATGTTTACCTTGCATAGATCGAGTTTGAAGCTGGGACCCGTCTGTCCCCACCTTGTTGTATCTCCATCACAAAGGGTCAATATTTAAAAAATGTAAATTTAAATCGAAACGAATTGAATTGAATAACAGATTTAATTCATTGTTTGCACATCGTAATATTTTACCAAACCTACTTTAAATCCCTCTACACAGATGGCCAATTATTTGATTAAAATATACACCTTTTATACAAAAATAATATCTGTCGGCAATGCGGTTACTTTTCTGTTGTCAGTAGGGACATATTTCGAAATCTATTGTGATTTCAACATACAGACATAGACTACTTTTTTATCTATCAAAACCACACTGACAATCTAAAATAATAAAAACAGAAAACTTCAGAAATAAACCAGTAAGGAAAGTAGTATAGTCGGACTGGGCCGACTATATAATACTCTTCACCACTTTGGGTATATTCTACATATGTCTCCTAACAGACTCCGCCTTTTCGAAAGAACATTGGCATCAAATTGAACGTACTTGAATATAAGATCTTTACGCCTTTCTGAAACCTATGCTAAATTTCATTTCATTGAACCGATTTTCATGGACGAAATATATATGAGAGCAATACCTAAATCTGGAACGATTTTCACGAAGCTTATCGCACATCATTCTACGCTATGACGCTATGGCACATCATTCTACGCCAAATTTTGTGCAAATCGAAAGATATATATATATATATATATATATATGGACTTTGTTGCACAATTTACTTTAAATTAGATGAATATATATATATATATATATATATGGAAGCTATATCTAAATCTGAACCGATTTTCACTAAACTTTGCACACATCATTGCAGACTCAATTCAGTACGCTATGCCAAATTTCGTGCAAATTGAATGATATATAGGGACACTGGTGCACCATTTACATAAAATCGGCGAAAATATATACGGGATCAATTTCGGCAAATCGATAGGACATTGGTGTACCATTTACATAAAATCCGACGAAAATATATGTGGGAGCTATATCTAAATCTGAACCGATTTTCACGAAACTTTGCACACATCATTCTAGACTCAATTCAGTACGCTATGGCATATTTCGTGCAAATCAAATGATATATAGGGACATTGGTGCACCATTTACATAAAATCGGACGAAAATATATATGGGAACTATATCTAAATCTGAACCGATTTTCACGAAACTTTACATACATCATTGTAGACTAAATTCTGTACGCTATTGCATATTTCGTGCAAATCGAATGATATATAGCGACATTGGTGCACCATTTACACAAAATCGGACGAAAATATATATGGGAGCTATATCTAAATCTGGACCAATTTTTCCCAATTTCAATAGGGTTCGTCCTTGGGCAAATAATTCTCCAATTCGGAGAATAAATGCGACATGTACTTTGTTTACAATACAATTTAACATGGACAGACGGACGGACGGACATGCATAAATCGACTTAGAAAGTGATTCATGCATTTTCTCAAAAGGAACCATGTGTCTATCTCGTTTCTTTTTGCCTGTTACAAACATATGCACACCACACTGTACCACAGTGTGGTGTAGGGTATAAAAATACGTAGCTCAAAAAATAATGGTTATTTTTGAATCAGACCTCGTATATAACACGATGTCATGCCTGTCTACACACAGATCCAGGCTTTCTTTATGACCTATCATTTGTGATCACACCAGCTGTAAACATAATTAAAATTGAATGTCATTCAATTAAAATTGCTCCTTTTTTCCCTACAGAACAAACCGGACGCATACAAAAGGAGTCGTTGGAAAATCGCCAAAATTCCGAAGCTGCACAGCGTGAACGTTACTATGCCACAATTCATAAGGTTTCAATGCAGAACAACGATAAAATTCCAGGTATGGCATAGACATAATAAAACAATATACACTATATGCATACATATTTATGTATACATTAGGAACTGGTATGGCATAGCCAAAAAAGGAACAATATACACTATATGTATACATATTTTTGTATACATGAGGGACATTTTAATGGAGATGGGAGTACACAAAGTTTTATAATAAACCTTATTAAACTTTTTTTATGAATAGATCGGGAAATTTAATGTTTTCAAATACAGTTCTAACCATCCTTCACACATTATTCTCATTGCGTTTGTTTCTTCATATTTGCTTTTTTATTTATAGAGACCTCCGAGGATATTTCTCCTTATGCCACATTTCAGCTGTCCGAAAGTGGCAACATGTCCCAACCACATCACGCTGGCCCCGCAAATACCTTGCTGCATTCGTTTATGTATCACGAGCGTGCTCTGACGGAGGGCTGTTCGTCGACACCACCTGCTGCGGTATTAAAACCCACCACCCACCATCATTACCACCATAACCACCACAGTCAAAATCAACGTCCAACCCAGACAATTCATAATCATTATCAAACCTCACCGTTTCATAATATCGTGCGTTTATTTAATACTTCATTTGGGGTTTTTTCTAGTTTTTATACGTTTTGGTTTTTAGTAACTATGCGGGTGTAATTATGAGTTCAGTTGGTTTGTTATTTTTTATTTTTTCTATGAAAACGCTAATTTCGATATTTTTATAGGGCAAAGGATTTTGCAAACATCACTGTTTACTTTTAAAAGTCATAATGATTTGTTTGTTAATCATGGTGCAACCATTCGTATTAATGTGCATTTCTGATTTATTTATTTATCATTTTTTTTAAGAAGTGCTAGTATTTTTAATTTTAATCAAAATCACATTGTCATTGGTGGCGTATATTTCTGGTTATGTAATTTATTTTTTTACTTTCATTTACATATATTTATATAATTTTATTTTTATGGAACAAAGGCTAAATGAACGCTAGATATTATAAGCTACCACTGTATATCCTTTTTGTTTGTTTGTTTGTTTGTTATTGCCAATAAAATGAAGCCCTAGCTATGGCTCCAATGTATTTGTTGTTTGTGGCAACATGACAATCATCAACATCATCACTGAGCACAACCAGTTAACTCCCCAGTAGTATGCTTTGACCGGCTTTAGCCACTTTGATCCCATAACTAACCTCCATTATTTGTTCAACTGCTATTCGGCTAAACATTGTTGCTATAATCAATTATTTTTGTTCTTTTGCTTTTTTCTTGAAAACATTTTGTTTTTTTTTTTATATATTTAGTCTTCCAAAAATCGCCGACGACATTCACGAAAAACCGAACCGGAAAGTGAAGAATCCGAATCGGATCAGGATCAATTGACATCAAGTCGTACCGAGTCTTCCAATCAACATGAAGGAAAAATGAAGCATAGTAAGTTGATAATTATGTTTATATGGATAACATAAAGTATTTGATTGGTATGAAATAAATGAAACAAGTGAAAAATTTTGAGAAAATTAAAAAAAAATAACAAAGAAAAAATAATTAATTTGATGGCACTGAGAAATGCAAATATCAAATTACAGGCGTTTCAGCAAAGACATATGTACTTTTAAGTCTTGACAAAATGCATTTCGGAAACATAGCTTGCCGAAAAATATGTAGGAGAGGGGGTCAGGAACGAGTACTATTAATATTTAGAATTTTTATTTGTTAGGCCCAATTTTCTAATTTTTGTATCCTTAACTTCGACTTCCTTTCTTCCTGTACCACTTCCAACATGTGTCAAAAATTAGAAATTTTCTAATTCCAATATTCAGCGATTTAATCCATCGTAGCATTTTACTTAACATAAATCAAGCTAAAATATGGTAACCACAAAATTTGAAATTTTAGAAATCTATATATACATATACATATATAAAATAGAAAAAAATTTGTTTGTTTGTGTGTATGTTCCCGATAGACGCTAAAACCGCTGAACAGATGTTAATGATATTTACACTGTATGTCGGGGCATGCCCTGAAAGTAACATAGGCTAGCTAAACTTCTAAAATTCCGCGTGGATGCAGAGTTATAGCGTCAATAGTAAACAAACCTCATAATTTCGGAACATGTAATATGCGTATATCTTAAGAACGGTTACAGATACCGTCTTCAAAATTTGTGTGAATAACGTAGGTGTAAATACACATCATCCACATGAAAATGAGCATGGTACGATAAACGGAAAATGCACTTTCCATTGCATTTTAAATATTTGAATATTAAAAATAGAACACATTTTGGTTGTAGACTTAAAAATCGCTGAACAAATTTTACAGAGACTTTCACAGAACGTCATGGCAAGCCCTGGGAAAAACATAGGTTATATAAACTTCTAAGATTCCGCGTGGATCCGGAGTTATAACATCAAATGTAATCATACCTAAAATATTATGAACATGTAATTTCTGCATATCTTAAGAACGGTTACAGATACCGACTTTGAAATATGTCTGCGTAATGTAGGAGTAAATACACATCATCGACACCACCTAAGGGTGGCGCGATCAAGAGAAAATGCCCACCTCATTGCATTTAAATCTATACGTAGAAAATAGAAAACATATTGTTTGTGGAATCTAGAACCATTGAACAGATTTTACTAAAATGTTCACAGGGCATCAAGCGATCCCATGGAAGTAACTAACATAGGTTAGTTAAATTTTTAAAATCCGCCTGGATGGGGAGTTATAGTATCAAAAGTATTCATATGTACATACATATGTATGTATGTATATCTGAAAGAATGTATGTATGTTAATTTTCTAAGATAGGTTGGTTACATGTAGCGACTACATTTAGATTAATAACCTGGAAGTAAATACGCTTCATCCGATGAGAATAAATTTTGGAACAATTACGATATAATTTGAAATATGAAAATAAAAATAAAATAAAATTGAAAAAAAATTATTGGCATTATAATTTTCTATTTTGTCAGTTTGTGAAAAATGTTACTTGGATAACAAAAATATATGGATTATAATAAATACCATTTTGTGGGGAAGTAACAGATGGATGTGATCGATAATAAGATATGCAAAATTGTAATTTTGATTATTACGTGCCATTATCTGTTTTTATGGACATACAAATTGTGTAAAATTGATAAAAATTATTAACGGTGTGTTTTAGTTTCAAAAAAAAAAAAAAAATTGCCAATATGTAGGGTTAATGGGAGCATATAAAAGTCCAGAGTTTTCCTAATTTTAAAATTAAAATTAGTATATATTATATTGCAGCTGCATGTAGGTTGCTTATTAATTGATCATTGGTATATGCTTGATAACTTTAGCAGGGGCAGCGAATGGCCGATAGACGCCAAAACCGCTGAACAGATCTTAATGAGATTTACACTGTATATCGAGACATGTCCTGAAAGTAACATAGGCTTTAAAAATTCCGCGTGGATGCGGAGTTATAGCATCAATAGTAAACATACCTCAACATTTCTGAACATGTAATATGCGTTTATCTTAAGATACCGTTTTTTTTTTTTTTTTTAATTTGACTGAATAACGAAGGTGTGAATACACACCATCCATACAAAAATGAGCATAGTACGATCAACGGGAATACACTTTTTACTGCATTTTAAAAATCAGCATATTGAAATTTGAAAATATTTTGTTTGTATACTCTAAAAATTCTGAAATGATTTGAAGTGAGTAGTGTGAATTTTTTATTATAAGTCGTTTTATCATCTGGAAAATGCCAGAGACTGAGATATGATAAATTCAGATACAGCCAGAGATTGGGATAGGATAAATTCAGATACAACACTATTTTTTTTAATGTCATTTTGTGGAGGAAGTAACAGATGGAGGTGATTGATTGTGTAAAATTTATAAAAAGTATTGACATAATTTTTGAATTGTTGTTACTTTGCGAAAAAATTGTGTTTCAAGAAAGCAAAAATTACAACCATTATAGAAAACAGTAAATTATTTAATAACTACTATACAACTACTACAACATGGACATTTCACACTTTTTTGTAGTGTTAATGCGAGCATATACAAATACCAGGGTTTACCTAATTTTAAAATTAAATTTAGTAAATATTGCAGCTGTATATAGGATGCTTATCAATTGATCATATCTAAATTTTAATTTGATCATTTCAGCAGGGGCAGCGAACCGCCACGGGTCCCGCTAGTATAATATAAAGCTAATTATCAAATTCTTCTGGTAATTCTTCCTCAATGTGCCAAGATTATGAAAATTTGAATAGAAGAGCTGAACGTTATCGAAGAACTGGAGCTCTTTTTATACCCTTCACCACACTGTGGTACAGGGTATTATGTCTCTGTGCCAAACTCCCAATATTGGTCCGATTGATACAAAATTTTGCACAGAGTATTGAATTAGGTCTAGATTGATGTGTACCAAGTTTGGTTGAAATCTGTTCAGATTTAGATATAGCTCCCATATATGGATTCGTCCGATTTTCGGTGAATGATGCACCAAACTCCCAATATTTGTCCGATTGGGACAAAATTCTGCACAGAGTACTGATTTAGGTCCAGAGTGATGTCTGCGATGTTTTTTTTATCGGTTCAGATTTAGACATACCTCCCATATATAGTTTCGTTCGATTTTTGTGAATTATACACCAAACTCCAAATATTTGTCCGACTGAGACAAAATTTTGCACCGCTTATTGAAATTCCTACAGGTCGACGTCCTTGAAGTTTTGTTTAAATCGGTTCAGATTTAGATATAACTTCTATATATAGTTTTATCCGATTTTTTGTGAATGATACACCAAACTCCCAATATTTGTCTGATTGAGTAAAATTTTGCATAGCGAATGCTATTGAGAAAAAAATTATGCGTGATAAGGTTTGTTGAAATCGGTTCAGATTTTGATATAGGTCTTATATATATTTTCGTTCGATTTTATGTAAATGGTGCATGAAATTTGGCAGAGGCTATTAAATTGAATATAGTGATTACAAAACAAGAATCGAAGTCAATCCGGTTGACATGCAATTTTTCAATGATTTCAGAATGGTATGTGTATGGGGTTTTTCAATTGGTTCAAACATTTATCTAGATAGCACATCTAATTTCGCCCGATTTCATCTCAATGGTCCTCCAAAGATTCTATGACCGTTCTATCTAAAGGATATTGTAGATATTAACATGTCTTGCATGTACCCAAAGTGGTGAAGGGTATCATATAGTCGGCCCCGTCCGACTTTTGAACTTTCCTTACTGGTTATTGAAGATTTCGTGGTGTTCTTATGGCTGACCTAAAGCTCTTATTTCGCAGACATGGAGCTCTTCTTTTCGCAGACCTGAATATCGGTCCATGTTCTAGCGTAGCCTTCATACAAGGGTGGGTCTCAATATTCGGTATTTTAAAACTTTTGGACTCGTTTTTCAAAGGAATTGGCTCAAATTTGATATTTTGATCCCTCACTGAATAGAAGATGTCCTACCAAAAATGATCAATATAAGTCCATGTTTCGGGGTATCTCCCACATAACGGTACCCCAAAATGTTCCACGTATTTCCTAGTTTTTAATTTATTTGTCTCGTCCTAAATTCTATGATTTCAAAACTAAGAACCAAACCAAATTTCTATGATCTCTAAGCTAAGAATCCAACCAACGTTTTCAATAAAAAATTATACCAGCGATGTCGAATTATTTAATAGAATTGATAACCCTTTAAGAATTCAAAACTAATTTGCTAAGCCAATCAAATAGGTTATGTTACAATAAACAATATATTATAATACATGTTATGTTCAATATAATATTATATGTTTTTTTTTATATTTTTCACAATCTTATTTTTTCGCAGAATCTAGTAACACACAACATTTTCAAAATCACAATATCTCAATAACATACCTGTAGTATTAGTTGGACAAGTAATATTGATTGATGATTTGTTAGAATCATTTGATTTACAAAACAAAAACAACAACAAAAAACCAATAAATTAACAACAAAAGACTACAATTTTTACAAATTCATCGCTGAACAACTGAATTCATTTGATAGTATTAGAATTATACATATTTTCGCATATATTCTAAAAAACTCCAACACACACACACTATATTACATACAGTTTTTATTTGTTTGTTTGTTTTTAAATATAGATTTCCTGAGCAAATTTTTTATTTGTTGTTTGTTTTTTTTTTTAATATGAACCATTGTGAAAGTGAGTTGAATTGTTAATTTTGTTTTTAATTTCTTCCTCCCCTACCACAGGTATCATCTACCATGGGGCACAATCAAGCACATCCTCTGATCTATCACCAATGTCCGAACAAAAATCATTGCCACGTCGCGGTCGTTCAAGGTATCATCATCAATTATATCAGTTTTCCACCAACACAACACCGCGACATCATAACAATAGTAAAAACTCTTCCAGCAATAATCCAAACAAGATCCTCTCACCACGCAGTGGTGTCGGCAATCTCAAGTCCATATCGAGCACATTCAAATCACAAGACTCCATACAGTGTCACATACCCACATTGGTTAAGTCACCTTCCATTACACAGCAACAAAATAAACACAACAACCAACAACAACATCAGCAGCAACAACAACAACATTCCTCAAACATAAACACATCCAGTAGCTTCACCAGTAGTAATTGTAGCAAAATCTCACAACAACCCCTACTTGTAACACCTAAAATTGCACCACACCACTCCCAGCAACTTCAAATGAACACCGACCTGCTAGACGGTAGTAGTTGTAACAATTCCCTTGCATCTGTAGCCCCCTCCCTGGCATGCATGCAGCCATCATCACAATTTCGTCCCATTGCCCATAAAGCCGATGAAGGTCTGTCGGGCGGCACTCTTTTGAATCCCTCAACAGCACCATTATCGTCGAAATTCTTTACGGCACCGACCCTGCCCAAATAGGATACGGCCCATGGGGGCAATGTAGACGGCAGCAGTCTGGTCGACAGTGATGGCATTGTGAATAGTTTTGGCTATAACATCGGCGAGATTTCGTGCACCTACATGAACCCCATTGATCAGAAAATCGACTATGAGTCATAGGTATTTGGACTTGGTCAAAGTCAGTAGGTTTAGATAGCTAGAAAAAAAGACGGCTTAATGAATTGTATCGATATGAAATTGATTATTGTAAGATATGTATGTATGTGTGTAAGTAAGTTGAGGTAAATATTGACTATTACAATGTAGTGGAGGATTCTGAAAATAAATTTCTGAAGTGTATCGCTTCACTTCGGTGTGTCATTGAAAAATATATATTTTTTAATTCATTTTACCTATGAAGGGTGAATTTATTATTTTTTTTTATTTCTTTAAATTTTTTCGAAATATAGTATTAAAGGTAATAAAATTGTTCAAATGCTACCAAATCCTACCTAAGAGAAAAATTAAGTATTTTCTCAAATGGGGAAAATTTTCGAATAAGGAGGCCTGTCACGGCCACACCTTCCAATAATGTGACCCATTTTTCGATTATCTTCGTTCTAATGTATTTTCTTTCGAACCCCATATTGAAGTAATAAATCGTTAAGGAAAAAACAAGGGGTTCTGGTCAGGAAAATCGATTTCTGAGCCACCCCGCATTTCAGTGAAAAATAAAAGCACAAATTGCCACTATAGGGTGAATATGATTACTCCGGGGGCTTCCACCTATTTGGAGCCCAGCTATGGGGCAATTTCCTATCACTATACTAATTTGAATGTAACTCTTTTCCATTTCCAAAAGAACATTTTTGGCAAGACTGCATTTATTGAACCGATACAAAACCAATTATGTACTCAAACTGTACGTTTTCTTACAACAAAATTCCAGTTAAGGTCAACATATGACCGCTATGTATGACTTCAGCCTTTGAACGGATATTATTGTTTATCCCATGTGCTACGATATAATCGCAATGATTTAAAAACTAAAAATATAAAATTAATATATTCGCCATCATATGGTACAAAGTGTCTTATTTTTCAAATGGTATTTATATTCTCTTCCTTTAAAATGTCGACACTCGAAATTCAAGAACTTGCTTTTTAATCGAATATTTTCTCATTTTAAATTGTTATTGGATGATATCATTGTAAAAAGTTGTCGTCATCATCATTTATTTTTACCAACGTCTATTCTCTCTTTCCACTTATTTGTTTATCCAATCGCAAAATGTTATTCTTTCTTTAATAATTGTAACTGACATTGAAATTTCGATGCGGATCAGCAACATTTCATCATACTGCTTTTTTGGTCTTCTCTCCACTGCAGTGGCTTTCACCAACATTCGACTAACAAAAAATAAAAATAAAAAACACAACAAAATACTTTCATTGTCAGACCACATAAAAAAATTGATTGCAAACTTTTTAACGGAATGATGACATTTCAATTATTCCTCTCTTCTGGTATTCTCTTTTTTGTCAATATAATGTATATCTATGTACACATGTGTATGGGTGTTTGTGTATATGTACATACACCACTATATAGGCCTGGAGGTGTTATACGCACCCTGCATCCATTGCAGTTACAAGCTGAATGCAATGTAATCCCCACCGGTGGATTTCATCAAATTCCCGTCGAAGTGGCTCTGCCATCTGCAACGGAACGCTCTGATGTGGCACAGGTTGAATGTGATGTGGAAACATTGAAGAAATTAAAGTTGGGCCTAAGGTCAACGTTGTGGTCTAGGCCAGCTTCGACCACATCGCATTTGCTACAGCAACAACAGCAGCAGCAACAACAACAGCGGGCCCAAGAGAATCGACCCATATCACAGCCCCAATTGCAACAGTTACATCAGCAGCAGCAACAACAACAACAGCAGCAGCAACAACATCTCTCCCAAACACCTTCTCAACAACAGTTACCAGCCCATGTTGCTGCAATCAAGTCTCAACAATCACCATCCACATCACAAAAACAACAATTGCAACCACGTCAAAATTCCCCAGCTCCCACCCAGAAACTTCTCAAGGAGAAGTCGGACTATTCAATATCTGTGTGAAATATTTATACGCCATACAAGAGTTGAGCGGATTTTCGTAGTCGTTTCCGTTTTCTAGCGAAACGTATGCGATTGCCAAATATCCAAACGAACTCAGACGTAGGCCGAACGTTCACAGTCGATGATAGTCGGCTATAACTCGTACATGAGTAGACTGTTGTGTTGTGCTCCAAATAGGTTAAATACTATCACCTGTTAATTATTCATTCGATTATTTGTTTTGACTTGCGCTGCAGCAATGAAAGTTACAAAAAAATAGAGAGAAAAAAAAACAGAAACAGAAACCCTAAAAAGGAAGAAAAGAAGGTGATGAAGATGAAGTTGACAAAAACAAAATTAAAGTTATATGTATAGTTGTGTATATGTGTGTGAGTGTATGTATGCCCACTAACACATTGTTATGTTTGACAATGATACGTGTTAACAACGGATGAAGCCAAACGAAATTTCTATGTGTATCTGTTAGAGTGTCGTATAGTATCGTACGTATATTTGAATATGAGTGGTCTATTCTGTGTTTAGCCTGTGATTAGTTAAATATTTCATTTTCGAAAAGATAAAAATAGGAATATATGATCACATATGAATTCAATGTCATATATGATAGTACCTACAGAAGACTTTGTGTGTAAAAGTATTTTTCTTTTCTTTTGTTTTTACAATATAAACCAAGGTATGAAAGTATGTTTCCGCTTGTATACCATAATAAAATTGTATACCATAAAATAATAAAAAAATGTAAACCATTTACCCTTTACATTTACATTAGATAATCTATATAGATTTTTTTGGCATATAACAGGGTTTCTTAAATACCTTTAAATTCTTAATACCATAACCATAAATTTAAATATCCAACATGTTGAGGTACATTCTGAGGTACATAATATAAAATAGGTTAACACTTTTACCAATTCTGGATTTCGATTGAATATGTTAAGCCATTAATCGCGTTTTTTGTTGGTTTTTTTCTCTTCATTGAAGAAGTTGATTAAAACTTCAACACATGAAGTTTTAAGAAAAAAAAATCTCCCGAATATTACTGTGATCATATTGGCTATAGATTTATATATATAGAAAGTAGAGAGGTATATAGAGGAATTTACCTAATGTAGAGAGGTATATAGAGGAATTTACCTAATGTACTTGGGTGATTAGAATGCACGTGGTAGGCAATTCATTTTTTTGTGGGCAGAACCTTTTTAAGGCATATTGAAACTCTGGGTAATGATAAGGCTACGGAATCGAGTTATCGTTAGATCCTTATGAGCTCATTAACTGCATATATGTGTCATGTTGAAGTATTGCCGAGAGTTTTATTAAGGAATGTTGTTCTTTTTTTGTAGGCATTTATGCCATAAACAATTTTACATTGTGCATAGTATTTAGGTATTATTTCTCATCAGAAGAATTCTAACGTCACCACCATCAATTTGGATGCCTCGTCGTTACAAATTTATAATAATACTAATATTTATAATAATATGGATATCGGATATAAGAAACTCAAAAAAAAACGGAGATTTCTTTCTTATATGGAATTATCGGATATAAGAAAGTATAAGAACGGTTTTTTTGATAATCATTCTTATATGCGTTTTTTTCTTATATGAGATGTGCTTATATCCGATATCTACTGTACATCGTAACCTTAATTGGTTTAATATATTCTGGTGGTTCAGGTTTTAATAATTAATAACTTTTGAGTGTTCATGCCAGATTTTTAAAGCAGTAAAGGATTATGACTTGAAAAGGATATAAAAAATACAAGTGGAATATACTTTCATATTTTTTTATATTGTGTTAAGTTAAATTTTAAAATAAAACCCCATAATATTTTTTTATAATACATATGTGTGAATATTTTCCCCCTCCGTTGAATGATTATATTATATCCCTCACATAATATCCCAACCCTTGAAACTTCAAACCCAACTCTTGATATATGTGAATGAACAATAAAAATACTTAAAAAAAAACAAACAACTTTCGGACAATCAATCAAAATTCTTATTGAAACACACCAACTCATTCACTTTTACATAAACCACTACATAAATGCATTCTCTTTATACAAGCGAACAAAAAAAAAAAATAATTTAATAAATAAAAACAACAATAACAACAAATCCTATATACACAATATATATATCCCAACAAAAATATACATAAATAAAAAATCTATTAAAAAACACACACTCACACAAATAATGCATGCAAATCCTGAATGCATTTTCCTTTCTCCAGACCTCCCAGTCTCCCACAATTGCATTGTATATCACCACCCATTATTGTTAATATACTTTTAAGAGTATTTTTGATATGTATTCAAATATTAAAAATGTGTTTTTTTGAATCAGGTTGTATTTAAAAACTTGTTAATGGAATATATACATTGAATGAATAATAATAACAATAATCGGATAATGATTCTATTAAATTATAATGTATGAATATTTTGTTTTAAGTTTAAAAGTTAATACCTACTTTTAATGAGAATTTCAGTACAGTGGTTTATCAAATGCTGATAAAATGTCATATTAACCTAACTGAAGGATGTTGAGTGATTTCCAATATGTAAATACATGTATGTAAAAGTCAATTATGTTTGTATCTTCTTCCTGATTTGTTCATTGAACATTTTGGACAAGCATGTATACAGGATTCCATAACGGGGACAGCCTGCTCTATTGCAATAATACATTTTTTTGTAAAGAGAAGAAATATTTTCTTATGGGGCCCGAGCCTCAAATCCTTGTGTATGCCCCCAATATTTTGCGCAATTCCAAAGAAAATTTGCATAACAGGCAACTTTACTTAAAAAAAAGTAAAAACAGCGTTGAGTTCGTTCCGGGCCAAACTTCGGATATATATGTGCACTGACATTTACTTGAAATGAAAGCTCTAAACCCATGTGGAATGGGCGCAAATAAGGATGAATCATTATACGAGGGGATGCCGAAATAAGGAAGATATATCATATTTCTGAAGCTTACTTTGAAGATTTGTATCACGTACCAGAGATTTGTATCGAGATGTACAAAAAGATGTTGCCCTATAGATCCCATCTTCAGATTCAATGTAGATTTAATTTAGATTTTATTAGATTTATTCAATACGAGACGTACCAGAAGGTAAAAATATCACGATGTGCAAAGTTTCGATGAAAGTGGGTACTCCGTTTTCAAAATATTGACCCTTTGTGGTATATGTACAACATTATATAGGCGTGATTAAAATATTAAGCTGCGTAAAGCTCGTTCATTTCGGTAAATCTGTTTGCACAATATTACGAAATTAATTGCATCAAAATATTGACCATTTCGTGTGGGAGGTACCATATTCCCATCTAGAATCTGTATGGGGCCTACCGCCAAGAGGGGCAAGTATTAATAATTTTTGGTAGTGAGATATGTAACGTAGTAAGAATGCAAAAAATTAAATTACAACGAATTCTATTGAGGAACGCAGTTCAAAAACCAAAATTAAAAAAACAAGTAAAAGAGCATTAACTTCGCCCGGGCCGAACTTTGGATACCCTCCACCACAGGTATACTGACAGGTATTTGAAATGAAAAAGTGGACCGATATTTATAATTTTTAATAAAGATATTTGGTACCCAACAAGAACCGAATGTACCCAATTTCAGCGAATTCGGTTGAAAAGCGCGCTCAAGAACCCCAAAATACCGAAAATTAGGGTGTACCCTTATATGGGGGATATCCAAAAAATTTACCTATATTCATTATTTTTGTGGAGAGATTTGATACCCAATAAGAACTCAAAGTACTAAATTACAGCAATTTCGGTGAAAAAATCCGGTCAAAACCCCCCAAAAAATGAAAATTGGGAGGTACCGTTATATGGGGAACTATATTTATAATTTTTAGTGGAGATATTTTGTATCCAAAAAGAATCCATTTTACCAAATTTCAGCAAATTTGGTTGAAAAACGCGCTCAAGCACCCAAAAATACTGAAAATTTGGGGGTACCCTTATATGGGAGCTATGCATAAACGTGGACCGATATAGCCCATCATCGAACTTGACCTGCCTGCAGACAAAAGACGACTCTATGCAAAATTTTGGCGTTCTATATCAATTCGTTTAGACGCAAGAGTGATTACAACAGACAGACGGACATGCTTAGATAGTCATAGAATTTTACGCCGATCAAGAATATATATACTTTATAGGGTCGGAAATAATTATTTCGATGCGTTGCCAACATACCAACCTAGAACTATATCGGTTGAAAAATATGTCCAAAATCCCTTTACCTTTCTAGTGTTGCTACCCGAAAAAGTGAACCAACATTGATAATTTTTAATGGAGAGACTAGGTACCCAATAAGAATCCAAAGTTTCAAATTACGATTAAAAAACTCACTCGAAATCGCCAAAATACCGAAAACTATATAGTGCTATTCCTAAACGTGAGCCGATATATTATATTTTCAATATCAAATATCATAGGAGTAATATCAATATATGTATATGCAAAATATAAAAGCAACATTTTAAATACCGCGTGATTCTTCGTGATTTCCAAAATATGGAGGATTTGAAACCCTTAATAGACCGTTGTGATCGGGCTTCAAAAGTGTTCTCTGTCAAAAAAGAAAACAAATAATTAATTCAAAATATGTTTATCATCAAATACGCAGACAATGACATTTCCTTGGACCTGATAATGTCTTATAAACCTCTCCCTATATTTAGAGGAGGTTTTCTGGCCATCTATTTCGGACCAAGGCTTTCAAAAATGTAAAATCGCTTGATATGGTACCTGGAGGCACCGCTGGGTCTGTATTGCATATTTTCACAATAAGGTTGATATGTCGATATACAAAATTGAATCCCTTCGTGTTTACGTTCGCAGACTACCTTTAAACTAAGACTTTTGTCTTCTTCCCAGGAAGCCTTCTATATAGGAGTTTTTTGAAAAACACAACTATAACATTATGAAGCGCCAACGTAATTTATGTGTATATTGAAGCCCTGGCCAATACTAAGATGACGGAGTCGAGTTAGTTTTGCCTAGCGATATATAAAATATCGATAGTTTGCGAA